ATTTTAGGGGAGAGAAAGGCATGCTGTCCTGTTGCAATGCCTTTTTGGGAAGATTGGAGCTAATTTGGCCCATATCCAGGGTGAAAACAATCTCGTTCCCAGAGCCCATGTGTCTTTTAGTCAGCGCCAAGACATGGAGCCCTGGAATAATCAATTTCCATACTCCAAGATTTTAGGAGTTCCGGTTTCACGGCGCTTGTGTGCCTTGGTTTAAAACATGGTAATGTTGTTCCCAGAGCCCACGTGTCTTCTGGTCAGCGCCAACGAAAAGACATGTGGGCTCTGGGAATGAGATTGCCATGTTTTAAACCAAGGCACGCATGCGCTGTGAAACCGGAACTCCTAAAATCTGGAGTCTGGAAATTGATTATTCCAAAGCTCTGTGTCTTAGTGCTGACCAAAAGACACCTGGGCTCTGGGAACGAGATTTGGGTGAAAATCTCCAAAATGTCCAAAAAATGTGTTTTTGGTAAAAAGCTTCAGGAGTCAATGAGTTAAACAGCATCAATTATTACTGATGAGCCTCTTTTCTGCTATACTCTTTACAATGTGTCATTTGTGAATATTTTAAAATTTAGAATTATAATACCTGTTATTTACACTTGAACTGCCACTATTTTTTTTTCTACACACTACTTTGTACCTAGACCTTTCCTTATCTGCTTTTGAATTATTGCCAGTTTATGTATTGGCTACCCTCTGTGCTGAGGGTTGTACAGCTGACCTGTAGATTCATACAGTTGCAGAAATACAGCATTGAGTGATAAAATCACAGCCACATTCAAAAAAGAAACCGATCTTTCTTTTCAATTTCCAGTAAGGTATTAGAAGCTTTCAAAGGTTTTGGTGTTTATTTCTCATAGTATAGCCAGATTTTCCAATTATTTCATGTTGTTATCCGTTCAGCATTGAGATTTATTTCTTTTTCTTACTTCAGCAGTCAGGCAGCTCAGAAAACTTACCAGGTGGTGCTGGTTTCATTCCACATGACAGATTTACATACCTGACTCTTGCTATCATTTCTGGCACTCTGACACTGGGAATTCTCTTCCCACAAAGTAAGTAAATAACTGTGATCAAACAAACCTTTAGCTCCCTTGTAAGTTAACATGTTTTGTGACCATTGCATCCTTCAGGGTACTTTCTCTGAAAACATTTGTACAGTTGTAGTGGTTTTGCCATTAGTTAATAGAAAGTTTAAAATGATTTAGTGTTTGAATTTTTTTTGTGTGATTGTAGTTGAATTTGTACTGGCATTGACTGGAGCAACAATGGGTACCCTAATAGCATTTGTATTTCCATCAACCATGTATTTGCATATTGTGTCAGAGAAGACAACAGCAAGGCTTATAGCAAAGGTATGTTGTCACTGATTTCATATGTGAAGGGTTCAATCGCCACATTTAGCCCAGGTCTACAGAATATACTGTGAATTTAATATATAGATTTAGCCAAGCCTAAAAGCGGAGCTCCTGATTGCAATAACTGATGATAAAGGAAAAAGAAAATTATTTTTTCTTGGATCAGAAACTCAAAAAATGATCAACTGTGAGCATGTAATTGTTCAGTGTGTGGTTTTGCAATTTTTTTCCAGTTAAATTTTAACAAACTATACCCAACAAGCCTAACCAAGATTGTAGAAATTACTTTCGCAATACATCAGGGACTTTCCAAGAGACGATTGTACAAGGAATGTCAGAAGAAAAGTAAACAACGCGCCAGGGGTTAATTTGCGCCGAAATTTTGCCTTTGCGAGTACTCCTTCCTTCTCCCCCAGAGAAATAACGTGACTTGAGCTTGCGATCCAATCAGTAACCCAGTAATCGATCAGTTGTCAACTTAAAAAAAACACACAACCTCGATGGGTTCTAAACCTGAGCCCGCAATATAGTCACGTGATACTGGTCAGCGGATAGCTTGTGACAGCTGTCAATTAACAATAGCATGGACACCCAAAATACGGACAGTCACGTGACAACCAAAATATTTCAGATCCGTGGGTTACCAAATTTTCTAAGGTATGGGGCTCCGCTCGTGCACCTTTGGCGCTTAGGAGCTCTGCTATTATAAATCAGCAAATTTATTGACTCAAGTGATGGTTATCCAAAGTAACTCAGCTTGTAGAGCAGTGGTCTTCAGGTAGCCAATTCTGCTGGGGTACATTATTTTGCATGATTGTCGGAAAAACGGCATGAAATGTTTTGTTTTTGCAAATTCAAGGTCAATCAGTGGCTTAACTTTTGGTCAAGGGATTTGGACAAGTATAGAAAGAGTTATAGCAGTTAGTTGGGGAAAGAATTATTGGCTCACTGGGTCAATCAGAGTCAGTCAGTCAGTCAGTTAAATTCATTTTGTCAGTCAATCATTCTGTCTGTCTGTCTATGGGTCGTAAACGCTTTTTGGTGGTAATTCTGCTGACCAGGGAATTTGTGAGAATGGAGTGGGGAGTGGGGCTGGAGGCAACATTTGCCTAACTATTGGTATTAATAACAAAATGGCTGCCAAAGCAATGAACTGATCTTTTTGTTTGGAGTCGAACAACTGCTCCTAAATTAGAGACTATTTGGTATACAAATTAACAAAGGTGGGTGTATAATTTGATCTACTGATAGCGTTGACAGTGGCTTTGAACTGAAACATTGCTATAACATTTGCAAGGGGTTCACGCTCGAGAAGGGTTTTTCTTCTGCAAATTATTACTTTTGTGGATAAAGGCAAACTTTCCGCCAGTACCTCAGAGAAAAAAATCTTCCCACACCAGAATTCAATCCCATTACTTTCCAATCTGCCACCTTCAGATTGCCTTCAGATTAGAACTTATTACGTCATAAAACTTTAAATTAGCTTATAGTTATAAGTATTATTTTGTAAATTAATGATTGTAGTAAATGTTGTGTCTCACCACATTCAAATTTCTCAAAATTGTTTTGACTACCCTTATCATATGTATTACATGAAATATGTTGGTTTCAAAGTTGCTGCAGGTTTGCTGGCTATAAGCATCTTTGGTAATCACTTTTGTATTACAATGTTATGTTATGTAAGCCAAGTTTAATATTTGCTCATCAGTTGTGTAGAAGCATACTACTACAGAACTTCTGTGTTCTTGTTCCTGGTCGTTGTTGTTGTTTTTTCATTTTTTTTGGAAATTTGTACCCTGGAAAACTCCCAGAATTTGATCATCTGTACGAAGAACAAACGCTGGTTGAGCAAATATTAAGACGGTACAAATTCATTAATGTCTAATTGATTTTTAACTTGGTGAGTTAATTTGTTTTTTCTGGTCAGTGAAGAGTCAGGGAAGTTTGGTTTTCTCTTTTAGTAGTAACAATCATTGTAATAGAGAGTGAAATTTGAATGATAGTTTAGCTGCAAGTTCCATGGAACGTTTGTCCAGTCCAGTCATTTCCTATAAATTATGTATGTTAAACAATAATGTTCAACAGGTTCTCACGTTAATGAGTACTACCATTTATTCCTTTATTGTAGCTTGTGCTAGTGTTGGGTTTAGTTTGCTTTGTGGCTGGCACATATACAGTACTGACAACTCAAGAGAGTGGTGAGCATCATCAGGTTGACATCCATCCACCAGGAATTGATCCTATCAAGCCAGTAGTCTTCCAAGATCCCTCAAACAAAGAAAATGACACAAGCATTCACATTGGTATTAGGGAATCCCCAGTTGACATTGATGTTGCTAAGGTAGGAACTGGTGTTGCAAGCTTTTATTATCAAGCCCTTAAGAGCGCATTTTTCTAATTAGCAGACATAGCGCGGCAGAAGTCGAAAAATCGATTTTTCTCTCTTTTTGTCCACAAATAGCCCTGAGGTAGATATGAAACGTGATATAGTTTTTTGGAGCTCGAAGCGCTTTAAATTCGAGAAAATCAAGGAAAACGATTTTCGCCTCGACCGTCACTAAAATGACCGATCGCAAAGGCTTAAAATTAGTAATCTGAACTTGATTTGCATTGGCGTGTAAAGAAAAACCAACACTTATCGATACTTTTTCTTGAAAGACAAAGTATTCAGCTATCCAAACCAGGTTAGAACTTGACTTGAGCGCCGTTTGAGAATAAACACACAATTTTTAAAAAAAATCCCTTTCAGTTACCAGGTTGAATTCCTTATTTACAAATAAAATTCAGAGATATTTTTCAACATGTGCCATGACTCCAAATTCCTTCAGTTGAAACTTCGCCTTTGAATGAAGTGTCAGCAATGAAAAGTTCGGTCAGAGATATTTCCCACCAAAGCCAAGTGTTTTTTACTAATGTTTTCACTTTTTTTCGACTTTCTATGATTGGCAATCCATGACTCAATCCAAAGACCCACTTGCAGTAGTTAGCTGGACTGCAGGATAGAATATTTAAGCACGCCAAATCCATTTACAATAATTAATTTAACCCAGTATAAGTTGAATTTTCACAAGAGAATTCTATTTTAGACGTCACGCTGCATGTAAAAACAATATGTATCCTCAGTTCTCTTGTCCTTTTCTTGCTTTCTATTTTTGTTTTTTTGTTTTTTTGTTTTCTGCCGTCATGTAAAACATACTGCAACCATATAATGATCGAAGCTCTACCCTAAATTAATTTTGAGACTTTTGCTGATACTTAATTTGCTTTCGGAACACGGGACGCATCATATATATAGCCGATTGAAGGTCAGACGGCAGAAGTTTGCAAATGCGGATCTTTTTTAAAGGTTTCTGTCGTTTTTCCTGTGGTATGTTTCAAAAACACGAACTGTTCTGTTTTTGGATCAGAAGAATTGCTAAGCAATGCGGGTGGACTCTAGTCAGTTCTTCTTCCATTATCGGTGCATAAACTTCAAGTGAACAAGATTGTCGACGAAAGTCAGAGGTCAGCGCATCCTATTTGGCAGTGATATGAAAAGACAGGTTGGGTGACACCAATTTGCTGCTATCCAACCTGGTATCCATTCCACGAAAAAAATCCCAAAACTTATAAATGCAGCTATGTCAGGATTGCCAGCAGAAATCTTTCTTACAATCAATGTTGTCTTTGTCAGCGCAGGTTAGTATACCTTCCGTTCTACCTCCCCAGT